GGGTATACAGCCGTTACCGTCTGTACCAGTCTGACATTTCATAACCCCCTCCCCTCCAACACACATAAATGCATCCTTTCTTCATACTGTACCTCTTTACCCTTTTTTATATTTTTATTATACACTTTTTTTTATTTTTAATTGCATTCACTCATTTTTTTCTGCAGGCACTTATCAGCGTTGTGGGTTAACGTGGATCAAGTGTAATGTAATATGCAGCGAGGTTGGGGGTGTGATAGAGCAGTCATCCAGTTTAAAGAAGTGCTAGGGGAGTGCAGCATCCATTAGAAACACACCTTCAGGTTGGAATCGTGTTAATGATCCTGAATGTTCTCGATGAAACCTTTGATGCTACTTGATGCCAGTGGCTGTGTGTGTATGTGGAATGGGCGTGCACATGTGTGTGTGTGTGTGTACGCTTTGGTTTATGGATTAGATAGCTGCACCCGGAGGAGAGGAGGGGTTTGGGGAGATAATGGAAGAGGTGAATGGAGGGTGAAAGTCGGGGGGTGGGGGATCTAAGGATGCTGGGATAAATGAGATATGTGGACATGTGTTAATGCATTTATGAAAGTAAAACTAAGGAGCTGAAGAAATGGGGTCAGACAAAGTAGCAAGATATGGAAGTACAGGTGGCTGTGGCTGAGAGGTTAGAGCAGTTGTCCTCCAATTCGAGAGTTGGGGGTTCGATTCCACCAGCAGTCACATGCCGAAGTGTTCCTGAGCAAGACTAACCCCCTCACTGCCTCTGATGTGTGTCCCATCGGTGTATGAATGTGACAAAGCACTGATTATCATGTTTTTCAGACTATAAGGTGCATTAAGCGAAACAAAACATTCAGATAGGTCAATCTTTTTTCAACTCATTCACAATAACTCTCAACATTGTTCAGTTGTACCACATAAAATCAGTTCAGGGGCAGTGAGCACAACCAGAATTAATACATAAGGCACATTGGATTATAAGGCTCACTGTCAATTTTTGAGAAAAATTAAAGGATTTTAAGTGTGCCTTGTAGTCTGAAAATTATGGTAGTCTTTGTTAAGATATACTAGAGTACTGCATGGATGGGTAAATGAGGGCACAGATTGTAGAATAAAGTACTTTGAGTATCTTCATATGATAGAAAGGTGCTATATAAGTACAGTCCATTTACCATGAAATCATTCATGTTTCAGTGTTTTTCATTTCTGATTGGTAATACATATAGGTATAGATTACAGATCTTTCTTGTAAAAGAGTCCTTGTGACTCATTGAGACTAACCTGTATAAATAAAGGTTGGAAAAAAAAAGCAAATGTAGTGAACTAGGCCTCCGACAACAATCTGTCTCTGAAGACACCAAGTCTTGTCTGTTGGTTCCAGATCAGTTTCAGGTTAATGACTCCCTTTGCAGTCATCACTCGTGAACTGTTGGGATACAATGGAAAGCGGAAAGCTTTCCCGATCAGAACTGGACCCAAATGTTTTTTAACCAACGTTTCATAGAAAGCTTGGTTAACAGCCGATTTATCTGTCCACAGCGACAGTACAGCATCTTCGGTGTGGGATCCTTGGATCTCTACACCTTTAACTACCAATGGTAGGTAGTATCCGGTGGGCTCTGACTGTCTCAGCTCGCAGAGGAGGCTTTCTTGTTCAGTCAGAGTTGGGTTCACCGGTTGGGTCTCTTCGGTTTCACATGCTTTTAAAGGCTTACTTACCGGGACTGTGTTCTCTGCGGAGAGGTCCTCGGTGCCTTCTGCAGTGAAAATGGTTGATGTGCTGCCAGGGGAATCTTGTATTGTCTGACAAATGTAGGCGGTGAGTTTGGCGGAGTTGGGATGCTCACTGTGTGGAGCGAGGTCAACCCACAATCCATTGAGTCGGTCGAGAATGACTTCTCATATTTCATGAGAACTTGGCGGAGTTTGTCCCTTTCTTCATCTGTCGTCAGGGCGTCGGCTTGGGCGACCACCTGTTCAATCTGTGAAGAGATTGCTAAGGGTTCTTGATGATTAAAAAAAAAGCAAACGTTATAGATCGAAGTACATTTTGAAGGACAACAAATTTGTTTTAGGTACACAATGATCACTTTCCCAAACAATATAGTCAGGTTTTGTGGATGCTAAAATATTATTTTCTTAATAAATATGCCTCTAAAAGAAGTAATTCAAATATTTTGACATGGGATTCTGTGGAAAGAACAATAATATGTCCTTATAATATAAAATCCATTATTCCATTATCTTTTCCCATTTCTTCCTTTTCGGGTCATGGGGTCACTGGTGCCCATATCCAGCAGTGACTGTGAAAGAAATAGGATACACCCTGGACATGATTCAACCTTTTTTTCTTTATTTACCTGGATGATTGAGCTTACAAAGCACTTTTCACTCTGGACAGGTTGCCAGTCCATCACAGGCCACAGGCCTGCAGCACTTGTAGTGCAGAAGAACAGAATAAATTTTGCTGGAATTAATATTAATTGAGAAATCGTTTGTGATTTAAAGGTTTATAAAGTAGCATTTCCATGAAATGTGATGACATTCCAGGGATGTTAATGTTGTTTTAAGACAACAGCAGTCTGCTTTGTTCCAAGTCTGTTCAGACTTGCTGTATCCTCATTAATTAGGATATGAGTAAATAAATAAATATCAGAATAAATTAATTTCATTGATGCTGGTTAAAGAGTTAGCGTCTAGAACATGTAAGAAATTACTTGTTCAAAATCTTCCACAAGAATTGCAAAACATAATTTTACTTTAACATGTCCAAACTATTCCTTTAACTGAACTTAGTTTGTTTGTTTATATTTATGGGAGATTATTATTTTGCATGATGGATTTTTGAGTAACTCATACTTACTACGTTAATACTAATACTAATTTATCTGCCAAGTTAGGCAGGCAGTCATGTAATTGGCTGTATGTGTGTGTGGTGTTGGTGGTGGTGCTAGTTAGATTGCCTGTTAGCAAAATATTGCATGAACTGCTGAATTAATATTAATGAAACTCTCAGAAAGTAATCATTGCATGAACCTCTACAAATAGTTAACTTTGGGGGTTAAACCAGTTCAAGATGGCTGCCACAGCTGATGGACCTTACTTATCACAAAAAGAGCTCTAACTCACTAAACTTTAAAATTATTGACATAAAATTTGGTGTATTGTGAATCCTATCAGGCATATACTGAGTGCTAACTCAAGATCTTTCATTAAAACATTGGCATGCATGCTACTGCACGCTGACTTCAATGAAGTAATATTAGTGAGTGATGTTGTGTTGTTGCTGTGTTTGTGTTGCCAGTGCTCCTATCCAGTGTGGGAAGACTTCAGTGCCAAGGCCACCAAGCTGCATTCCCAACTCAGGTAAGCTCTTACCAGAACCAAGTAACAGAATCTGTATGGAAAATACCAGTCTTTGGGTCCCCTACACACTTGATGACAGCTTCTTGTTTTTTCACAACCTATACAAGTTATTAGAATGGAGCTAAACTGTGACAAACTTGGAAAACCTGTCTGAAAGTGAACGTTCACTACGATTATGCTCCAGCCTTGGCACAATGTTCTCAAACTACACATGAAGATGCAACTACAGTTATTACGTCTGCACTCAGGTGGAACCAAGATCTTGTCACAGTCATGGTCCAAGCATTAATGAGAGTGTCGTGTTTTCTGCTTCAAATTCTTGATGGCCAAACCACGAGTGCTCACGATCCTTAAGTCACTGCCACCGTGCTTCACATAGGACCAGAACATGCTGCCATCATGAATGAAGTTTTGTGCATGGAGACTGTTTCCACTTTAAAGCAGGGTTGTAGTCCAGTGTGAAGGGGGCCCTACTAAACGTGAGCATACTGAACTGTGTCAAAACTGTAGGAAAATTCTTTGTTTTGTTTTAAATTAGACATAATAAAACCGGATTCTGTTATTTTAGGTTAATATGTGTTTTTGTCCATGTAGAACTACTGTGCTGGCAGCTGTGGCATTCCTGGATGCCTTTCAGAAAGTGGCAGACATGGCCACCAACACCAGAGGTAGGACAGCACTGGTATTTGTTTGTGAGCTAAAAAAAACACACACCCACGTATAACATATGTTGCCCACGTTTCTCTGATGCGTCTCCTGTTGCTCCTCTGAAAAGTGCCTAACGTTGTAACATTCACAGGAGTATGGTCACGCTGTTGAGATATTATCTTGCTTCCTTCAACTGATGAGTGTTTCCTGGAGCCTTAAAGTATATTTTGTTCCTAAATCTCAGAGCAACTGTACTTCACCAATAACAAATTTAGATAATAAGGGGAGAACCTTATAGAGGATGTTGCATCTTTGTCTTAATTCTTTGGATGGAGAAGTCCCCTAATGTGTTTGATCACTACAAGTCAGTAGAAGAGAAACGTATCCTTCGAACCAGTCCTCCAAACATGTGACACTCCATTAGAGGGATGAACAGTGCTCTATTGAAAGGGTTTTATTGGCGGCTCAGAACATCTCATATGAATTAGTGCTACTCTAAGTATAAACAGTGTACTGTAATAAAACTACACACACTACATAAAACTACTACAACATATTGTTCCATCTAAGTTGACAAACTTGGAAAACAATGTGGTAAAATTGATTTAAATTGCAAGAGCAAACACTTTTAATAGTATTTCTGAAGCTTGACAGTCTGCATGTGTGTTTAAAGTCTGGTGTTAGTTTAAACAGAACTGCACCGCGAGCTGAAGGTGACCAATCAGGCTGCACCACAGGGAGTTTCTCCTGCTGTTAGGACTTATTGGGTGCAGATGTCAGACAGTGTACGTAATGATGTTGTGTGTGTGCAGCACTCCTGGTGGGCTCCTATAGCTAAGGATACAGGAAGAAGCTCATGCTGCTTTTACAAGCCAGACAGGAAGTCACTAAGCTGTGTCAGCTCATAACAAATAAGCTTCCACTGCCACACACGCACAAAAATATAACGTAAATGACGCTGCTATATTGACGCAAACTGTTCATCAGAGGCTCTTTTTGTGCTCATGAGTCATTCCTGTTGGACACCATTTGTCAAATACTCTACAATTACGAGCCTTTTTTAGTGTGCGATGTTCTCTGATTGATTTACTAAATGGGAGAAGGCAGATGACGGCACCAATAATGATGTTCTCTGTCTTCCTGCCATTTGTTGTGTGAATGTGCCACTTATTACAGCGGGTGTGAACCAAGCCCAAAGGGTACAGATGATCCTCTGCTCTGCTCTTGTACCGATGGTCTCGTTTATAGGACTGCACTGTCCACAGATCCATTCGGCTGCCAGATTAATTTTATGTTAAATGGCAAAGATGTTTTCAGAGACTGCTTATAGAAAAAAAAAAAGTCCTACTTGCTTTTAGAATCAATTAAGTCCTGTTTTACCAGCATGTGCACGTTCTTGCAAAAGGAATCGCAAGTTGTTGGACTATGTTTCCACTGTATAAGACATCAAGTACAGTATGTCTGGTCGTTTAACTTCAGACTAAATTAGTGTAACGGTACTTGCCGCAGTACACGTCACATCAGTCCAAATATGTCTAATAAAGTGGGAAAAAAACATAAAGAAGTTGCTTCGCTGTATAAGTCGCAAATATTATGTGTCACCGCTGCTGCAGTGCGTTTGTTATGCGTCACTGCTGACCACACGGAAACGTGGGCCAGTGTTGTGCCACAAATTGATTGGTTGCCAAATGGTGGCTGCGGGAGCATGCACGGCAGGACTTTAATAAGAATTTAACACGATTAACACTTAAAATCAATTGTTTGTTTGCTTGAATTTATAGCAAAGTTGTGTCTCAGTTTAACTTTTCCTTAATAAATGCACTATGACGGTCAAATCAGCTGCATTTCAAAAACTGATTAGCGGAAGCAAGAGCTCCCAGAGGGAGGTCTTGCTGTGCATTTCTTCAAAATTAAACAAGATTAACACCTAAAAACAACTTTTTTTTTTGGTTTGACATTATAGTAAAGATGAGTCTCAGTTGAACTTTTCCTTAATAAAGGCACTTTAATGGTCAAATCAGTTGCATTTCACCTGTGTGGCGCTGCGAAATGCAGCTGATTTGACGTTTGCTCCAGTAGTTCCAGAGCGAGACAAAGGTGGCTGCTAAGAGTCAGAGTCAGAGTTTCTTTATTGTCATTCGCACCTCATGTGGTACATGTGGTGGAGCGAAATTATGTACACAGTAAGGCAAGCCAAGTGTCTCATTAATAGCCACTTTTACCTATTATTGAGACACATGGCTTGCCATATTGATCGAGGGCCCTCTAGTGGCTGAAAATGGAAGTGTTCAATATTTTCCATGTCAGAATGAATGAAATCATCAGATCTCAGTCCAAAAGTGGGATATAAATATTGGGAACAAAATATATATTAGTCGTTTCAGTGTATAAGTTGCAGGACGTGCAAATTTATGCAAAAAGGTGCGACTTCTACAACGACAAATTCGGTACATATTTTCAAAAGAACTCAGAAAAACAAAGAATTCTCAAAGAACAAGACGTAGAGTTTCATGTAATTCAGAAACTTTGCATTTGAACCAGTCAATCAACACGCCTGTTTCTTATTTTCATAATTTTCTGTGCATTTATACTGCCAGTTTACTTTTGTCCAGTAATCAGACCATTTTATTATCACTTACTCTGTCTTGGTCCTTGTTATTTTTCCTGTTTACCATATGTATTATGATATCCCACACAATATCACAGTATTGAACGAGATTGTGAATTACATCATTTACAAGTTTGACTAAAATGGCTCTAACTGTTATTTCTCAACAATAAATGATTCAAGTTCAAAACACTGCCATGAAAGGCAGCATGTGAGATGCATTCCTTCATGGAATGCTAAGCTTTTTATTTATACTGGTTCCTACCTTTTTTTTATAGCCCTTTAGTTTAACTTTTCATTAAAGCGGTTTCATCAAAGCTAATTGAGAAGTTTGTCAGAATTTTAGTTTTTAAACCATGCTCATCCTTTGGTCTGTGAAGGTTTTGAATACAAGGGCATGTAGGGTAAGTTTTTTAAATCATCTGGTCCTTTGATGGGTGGTTAGATGCTGTAATTTGAATTCTGTAACAAAGCTTAATCTTTGATGATTGGCTGGGAGTATTTATTGGGTTCTACAAACTCACAAAGTAGCACAGGGTGGTCATTTAGTTTGACATCGTGTGGTTCTTTGTCCAATAAAGGGATTACAAAGACAGCGTGAAGACGTGCTAAAAAACAGCAATGAGCAAAAGTTTGATGAGACGCTTTATTACACCTTACCAAATATCCCACTATACAGTAAAGCTAATTCTGCAGCTTGCTGGAGAAACTTTGGAAATAAAAGTGCAAATCATCACCATATTTTTGGGACTGTCAAGTAATTAAAACTTACTGGAAGAAGATAAATAAGGCAATACAAGATATTATTGGAAGTCAACTGCCTCTAGAAAGTAATGTTTTGTTTTTTGGACTCATGCCTGAAGTATGATCAAAGATAGATAAATACCTGTTGTTTAATTTTTTTATTTGTGGTGTGCAAAAATGCCCTCATGAAAAATTGGCTTTCACTGGAGAGCCCAACGTTGAATGTATGGATGGACATCGCAATGGACATATACAAGATGGACAGAATAACTGCACTAAATGACGAAAAGGACCGATTTACTTTACGCTGGAAGAAATGGATGGTTTATATAAAATCACGCAGACCAGATGTAAATGTTGCAATTTCTGAATGATATATTGATAGTAACAAAAAACACTTTCATTCCCTTTGCATTATTATTTATGTTGTGTTCCCTATTTTTGTTATGCAAAAACAAGGGGCATTTAAATTGATATTTTATTAATAGTTGAAGTGGTTGTACATGTTAAATACATTTATAAATGTCAATAAAAATGTATAAAGAAAAAAAGAAAAACAGCAATGAGCAGAAATGGTAGAGAACAAGTGGAGTTTCCCAGAGAATGGCTTGTGGCATTGCAGAGAGAAGTTGAGGACCTAAAATGGAAATAAATAAACAAATAAATAAACACAAAGCATGGAGGAACAAAGGACAGAAAGCCTTGGATGCATTTTAATTACCGGGTAGTGCAGAACACAAACATGGTAGCATCCTGAATATGCACAAATAATAATAATAACAACAACAACAACAATATCAACTTTGTTATTCAGAATTGTACAGTGCACCATGTAAAACTGAACAAAATTTCATTTCATTTCTCCACAGCAATGTACTTTGTAGGAGTACATAATATACATTAATTTTATAGACTATGGTGTGTATGCATATGTGTGTGTGTATTGTGGTCACCTCATTAGTGACCTGAGTTCAGCAGTCTTAATAGCTCGTGGGATGAAACTGTTGCAAAAGCTGCTGGTTCTGGTCCTCAGGCTGCGGTACCTCTTGTCAGAGGTCAACAGAGTAAACAGTCCATATTGTGGGTGTGAGTTGTCTCTTGATTTTATTATTTGCTCTGTTCAGATAGTGCACCAATATAATTTGAAAAGCTTTGATCATCATTTGACTGTTTTGTTCTGGGTTCTCAGAGTTTATCTTTTTCATGCATTTGATTTTCCATCCGGAAAGTGAAGGAAGGCAGCCTAAAGGCTGGGAGAATGTAAGTGTTGTGTTTGTGATGAAGTATGTAGGTTAGAGGAAAAAAAAAATAACAAGTGGGTGAAATCCAGTGGGACGAGATGTGGAAGTGTTTGTGAAATCCCTGGTGTGGGGTGAACAGGAGGGCACTCTCTGATGAACTCTTCACATTTCTCATCTCGTTTGAAAGGGCAGCATCACACAGAGTTACGACAGAACAAAACAACAGGGACAGCTGGACTGACGGCTGAAATGATCTCACACTGTGTCAGAAGTTCACACAGAACATCAGCTGCCAGGCCGTGAGTTTCGGTTGATAGATTTGAATAAAATATGCTCATGTGCAGTTCACTGACAGTTTGTCTTGCATTTTTCTGTTGATGGTATCGTCCAGCCTCTGCCTCCACCCTCTTCCTCCACCCTCTTCCTC